ATGATATCATCAACCAGCAAAGCAATTACCTGTTTTTGCTTCTTCTGTACATTTTCTTTGTGCTTTTATCCTCATTGTTGCTGTTCAGCTAAGCAGAACATCACAATAGGAGAAAGAATTCTCGACGGAGATTATTTGGAATCACCAAACAAAACGTTTCAAATGGGGTTCTTTTCAGGTGAAAGTGGACGATACGTTGGGATTTGGTATGCCATCGATCACACCACTGTGGTGTGGGTTGCTAGCCGTGATAAACCGGTGCCGGATTCCACAGGAGCTCTTATAGTTGCAGAAGAAGGTGTAAGGATTCTGGACAGAAAAGGAAACATTCACTTCAGCGCAGACGCAGGTCAGGTGGAGTTAGGTGGGCCAACTTAGTTTAAGTGAAAATTTTGTGCACTACGGATAAGTGAAGTCGAAACCTAAGCTTCTTCTTCATTTGGGCACCATGAAAATTTGGTACCTGAAAATGTTGCTGCATGTTCGAGCTTTGGTCACCTTACTCAATTACATTAATTATTATGGTTAAGAGGTTTAAGTCATTTTGTTTTATATATAATATCATATGTTCATGTGAAGAACCCATTAAGAACAGTTTTGGTTCTTTTTCTTTTTCGATCTTAATCATTCGAGAACCTAAGAAATTGTGATAAACTTGAGAATTTGGTGGATTATGCGCTATTTCACGTGATTCTTTTTCTATCTATGACGTGGATTTAGTGTATTGATTGACATATATTTGTTTCACAATGTGTTTGTTTTATATGTGTTCGGTTTTTCACGAACACATGAAAATGTTCACATTATGAAACAAACTCATTGTGATAAAGTATATGTTAATCAGTATACTAAATCCAAGCCATAGATGGAAAAAGATCACGTAAAATAGCACCACGATGCACTAGTTTTCAAAATTATCACAATTGTAATAAATATTATTCTAGTTTCATTTGTTTTTTGGAATTCTTATTTGTGAAGCCGAATTAATGGATAAGTCTATAGAATTGAAAATGATCCACAAAAAATAACTTCAATTTTATCCTACACTTTCTTGATGACTATTCATATATGGGGTGTTGACTTAACGATGACTATTGAGTTGTGTCGTGGCTCATTCAGGTCCCTCTCAGCATTGTCTTTATTTCAATAAATATTTAAAAACATTGATCCATTATTTTCATATGTCGGATATGGTGTCGTTTGGTGGCAATGAGAATATTACCCTCTATTCTATTTTGCAGCACTTAGATGAAATATAGGAGAACATTGTAGTTTACCTGGAGAAATAAGGTTGGGTTTATATGAGATCAGTCTTTTTTCATGAGACCACATTTTTACACTTGAAACTTCACAGCAAAATTTGAACCTTCACAAAAAAAAACGCTGTGAAAGTTATTAAAAAAATTACAAACAAAAGTTGGGCCAACCCAACCAAATAACAAAGTGTCTTCCCAAAAGATGCTTGGGGAAGGCTAGAAGCAATGGCTTCTTACTATATAACCCTTTACATTTATGTAAATCCTATTTCTCTTATATGATAATTCTTCAGCTAATTCTTGATTGATTGGTGGGGTTGTCGCGTAAATGGAGTCTCCACATCATGGAGGACCTAGAGTAGAGAATACGGTGGCACGTGCCACCATATTATTCCTCCGTCGAAGGGTAGAAAAATTTAGGTTCGTGAAAGGTGCAACCATATTAATTTGTTGTGTGCTTACCGTATGTATTTTGAAACTACAATGAGAACAAGTTTAATTTGGTAGAGTTGGTTTGCAAGGTTTTTATTCCACCCCAGACCCAAGTTTGAATCCTGTTAATGTCATTTTCTTACTCAAATGGTGCCACCATTTGAAAAAAACTTTGTACATTTGTTTCTTATAGTCAAATGGTGTCACTGTTTGAATTTTTTTCCCTATATCTTTTTCTTATAGTCAAATGGTGCCACCGTTTGAAAAATATTTTGGGTTCGTCTCTGCTCCACACATCGGTTCACAATTGAGGTTATAGACACAAGAGTCTCCATTCATATATGGTGTTCCATAATGAGTAGCTTAGAAGTTACAAAAGGGAAGGAGTTCTTCTATGCTTTTTGTCATTTCTATAGTCTTGTGTGACATTAATTGTGTAATCTTTTTTACAAAATATGACATGTTTGAAACATCATTGTGTTGCCAGGGGGAGCTTCTAACAAGACGTTGGCATTGCTCGACGATGGAAATGTTGTTTTAATAGACAACAATAATACCGTTATATGGCAAAGTTTTGATAATCCTACAGATACTTTTCTTCGTGGTATGAAAATGAACATGAGCTCAAAGTTGATTTCCTGGAAAAGCCCGAACGACCCAAGCACTGGAAGCTTTGTGTTCCAACAAGAAAAGACGATGCAATATGTCATTAGGGTTGGAAACACAACTCGTTGGAAAAGTGGAAGCGGGTCAAAGAAATACAAATTGGAGCTAAACCACATGTTCCCTGCAGACGCAAGGTTTTTGATGAGTGACACTGGAAACATACAGTATTTTACATTGGTGGAACTTAATAAACCATGGAGTTTGGTTTGGGAAGAGCCGAAGGATATCTGTAGCGATTATCAAGTGTGTGGGCAGTATGGTCTCTGTAGCCCAGATACTCAAACTAGATGTAGTTGTTTGAAAGGATTTGAAGCTACTGAACCTGGAGTTGATTCAGCAGGCTGTAGGCACGAGCCTAAAATATGTGGCACAGGTGAAGTTGACGAGTTCCTCAATTTTTCCATGATAGAAGTTTCGAATCCAACATCTTCCGAGTCAACAATTGAATCAAATTGCAGAAACAAATGTCTTGAAAACTGCCGGTGCAAGGCTTATTCATTTTCTAGTGGAAACACAGGAATGCAACAGGGACATTCCAGTCATCTAAACAACTGCAGGATCTGGGAATCGGAACTGTATAATCTTCAAATGGATGGAACAGATAATATTTCCATCCGTATTGCTAGAGGCGTGGGAGGTACTTCATTAAATCTGTATATTTTTGTACCGTCTTCCCTTATTCTTTACATATTTTTTTTATTTTTATAGCCATGGTATTTGGGTTCTTTGTGATGCTTTTGTTGCAACAATAGGCTATATCAACTCAGCACAAGGATATCCATCTCCAACTCCTCGTGGCGATTCATCACCGTTCCTATCAAAGACACGTATTTTGGTCTTTACATCGACAATTCTTATGATCTTATTGTTATGCAGCTTTAGCTATACATATTACAGGAGACTGGTCCCCCATGAACAAGGTATCTAGCAACCCTTGGTTACAAATACAGCAAAATGAATTTATAACTTCCATATCAGTTTCTAGTCAAAAAGAAAAACACGGATCAGCTTATGTGAGAGCTTTTGGATTTTCACCTAGAAAGGGATAATAACATCAAGCATTTGGTCTAATTAAGTTGTCTATCATATTTAGGAAGAAATTCCACGCTTCAAACGGATGATAGTGAAAGACGATCTATAGACTTAGTACATCTAGAACACTCAAGAGAAGACAGTATAGAAGGCATCCGAGTACCATTCTTTGAATTTGAAAGCATCTTAGCCGCTACAGATAACTTCTCGGATGCTAATAAGCTCGGAGAAGGAGGTTTTGGGCCAGTCTATAAGGTGATGATCCCTAACCTTAAACAAGTACTACTCATCTCAATGTATTATTTTTGGACATATATAAGCATTAATATGATGTGATCAGGGTAAGCTTCCTGAAGGAATACAAGTGGCTGTAAAGAGGTTGTCTAGCCTTTCTGGCCAAGGCT